TCATTATTGTCACCATAATCATGATTCTACTTCAAGTCCCAGGTCTGACACAAGCCAAAAAAAAAAACCCAAAAAAAACAACCCAACACCACAGAATAAGTTAGGGATGTGCTGAGGTCAAAGCCACCCCCTGCAGGAAGCCTTCTTACTGGGCCTGTAGTGCCATGATCCTTGGCACTTTGTAACTCGAGGGCAGGGGTGGGAATGTCAGGCCGGTGGGCCGTATAAGGCCCTCGAAATCATTTGGTCTGGCCCTGCCAAGGCTTTAGGGGTGAGTTAATTAAATGTCTGACCAAGTATTGCAGGCTAATTTTTAAGTTGATAATTTTGTATGGCCTGCAAATGATGTTTAAATATCCATATGGCCCTTAGCAGAAAAGGGGTTCCCCACCCTGAGCTAGAGGGTAGACAGAGCAACTGCTGAGTCAGCCTGATCCAGACACACATCATAGCTGTGTTACTTGCTTCTGTCATTCTCCCTCCCCGGAGCATGGCCGAGCCTCTCCCTTCCCCTCCCCATTCCCACAGGTGTCACCTTTACCTTCCTCACTCCTGAGCTCTAAGGGCCCTTCCTTAACCTCTATAGCTTGTTTCCTAAACCCATTTCTTCTACAATTTAAAAAAAAAAAAAGTTACTTCTCTGTGCCTCATTCCCTCACCTGTCGAGGGGGAGGTGTGTGATGTCATCCTCGTGGGGGTCCTCCTGAGGCCTCACGGAGACGATGCGTATTGCAGGGCTCCGAGGGGTGTTCAGTAAACAGAGCACTGTACACCGTGCTGTCCCTTTCTGCCTTTCCTTACATTGCTGCCCAGCCACAGGCAGGCCTTAGGCCTCCACTTCTAGGAAAGGTTGATCTGGGTGCCCATTCCCTCCAGCTTCGTGCAAGAGGGAGCTTTGGCAAACGATTGTTCCCTGAAATTGGCCGAAGCAGCAGCATCCCGCCTCCCCCAGAGAACGTGACCGGCCTTTGCCTCCCACCTTCCCTAGCAGTCCTGGACCCGGCCCTGTGGCATGAGGGGAGATACCCGCGGTGGAACTCAGCGTGGTACTCTGGAATGTAGAATTCCCAAATTAGCAGCTCAGGCCGGGACGTCATAGGGAGAACCTCTGGCTGAATGAGCCTTGACCCTCTTTTGTAGGAGCAGCTGCGCCTGGCAGCCCTGCCGGGGAAGCACCTGTCCGCCCTTCGCCTGGCCCCCAGGCCTGTGGCCGTGGCCTCCTGGCTGCCTGCTGAGGAAGCTCCTTCCCTGCAGGAAGGGCTATTCCACCTGCTTCTGTGTAGCCACACCTGTCTTTCTCTTTTACTTTCCTTTTCTTGCTTTTTTTTTTTTTAGTCACTTTTTATTCCTTACCACTGAATAAATGAATGAATTTATTCGGGTGACTAATGATTTACAACAGAGCTTTCACATTTTCTGCTGGTGATGGAAAGGTCCATGGGATTTTCACAAGTGTATGCCCAGGCAGGATGAAGGGAGACGCTGTCCAGGCCTAAGTCACACAGAGGCTGTAAGAAGCCAGCCTTTAATATCAAAATTGTCCTGAGGTAGATCCCGACTTCCTGACTGATTCAAGGAGATTCCGATATTAGAATATTAAATTATCCAGAGATTGCATCCTAATCCTCTGGTTGATTTGAAATGAATTTGAATTAAGACAGCTTAAAAATAGCTTTTATAGCATCTTTATGACTTGATACCGTGGAGAAATAAACATGAACCTGATGCCACAGACGTCATCCTCTGTTGATTCAGAGGCTGCCTTTGCCAGGAATTCTTCTAGTGGTCATCGAGAAGGTGCTTGCCATCCCCGTGTGGCAGTTCATAATTCACCAACAACCTGTACGTAACACTCAATTAAGGAACCACAGAGGCATGTTGGCCAGATGACTGATGGACAGCCGAATGGAAATTCTGCACCACTCTGGAAAACACGGCTAAAATCAATCCCCCGTGAGGGAAACCATGACTTATTAATACATTCTCTGCCTCCACTGAGTCGTGAATCACTGCTTTCCTATCAAAAGCTAATAGAAAGCCAAGATTGGTAAAACTTCTTACAAGTCCTTGTGGACTGTCGGTGTAAAAGGGGCAGGACCGGAACCTGAATAGGAGCCTGCATGTCGCAGAACCAGCACGTGGAGTCTGTCCCACTCCAGGGTGAGCAGCTGGCCCTGCACTGGAGGGGCCTGGCGGGCGGGGGTTGGGGGGGACAAGGAAGGGGAAGAGGAGGAGCACCTATTGTTTACCGACACCCAAACGCTCCTCCAAACCTGTCATTATTCATCTTACAAATGAGGAAATCAGGCTCACAAGTTTCAGGAACCTGCCAGAAGTCCCAGAGGACAGAACTGAGTCTGCAAGGCCCGGTGGGAGTTTGGAATCCTGCATGACCTTCCATCTGTTCACTTATTACATGATCATTGCGTCAGTCCTTGTTCAGGACTCAAATGTCCAGTCCCTGGTATTGGGGTGGGGGTGGGGTGGGAGCTCTTTTACCGGAGGGGAGAAAGGGAGAAGGTTCTGGGCACAGTGGCTCTGCTCGCTGACACCTCTTTCAGCTTCTTTTCTAGCCCCCTTTAGGCTTTGCTCCTGTAAGAATCCGTCACATTTTCTGTCACTTGGGACCTTAACAATAAATAGTGAGCCCTGGGGGCCTGGAGAGGGAAGGGGATGGGGCCGTACACTGCAGAGGAGCCCAGCTCTGGAAGTTCCCGCCCCTCGAACAATCCCCATTAATGATCCCATCTCTGCAAATGCCGATTGATATGGCGTGAAATTTGAACGTAAATGAGTTTTTACAGCTAATTACAGCTAATGCGAGCAACTTTCAAAATTGCCAAACATTCCTTCCAGAATAGTACAGTTTGCAACTATGAATTAGGCATAAAGAGCCAAATTTCATAAACATCATTTAGCATACAACAGAATTGTACTGCTAAGTGCTTTCCCACCGGCCATTAGGAGCTCCTCGAGGCGGCACTAATCGCACATGCCCGCTTGGTCTCTGCTGGCCGCAGGCGTTGAAAGCCTGGAAGGCAGCGGGGGAGGCGGTCATTGCCTAGGCTGAGCCGGAGTAGTCAGGAGCCCTCACGTCTCCATTTGCAACAAGGACCAATGGGCACACAGCTCGGGCTCAGGTGGTGGCCCCTCCATCGCTTCTGTCATCTTTTCCTGGTCCATCTGCCAGGCCACCTCTAAGCTGCTCATCTCACCTTGATGTTATTTTTGTTGGCGATCACCAGACCAGTTCCTGACCACTGCACACATTACAGTAGTAAAAATGTAGAAAGTGAAGCCTCTCACCGATCCCACCCAACCACCCTCATCTGAAATCACCACGTTTAGGAGTTGAGTGTATTTCTCTCCCTTTCAGGTGGGGATACAAACACATTCACACACACCCTCGTATACATACCCCATCTTTATTTTTTTACAAAAAACAGGATCATACGACACTTAATTACATCTTCCTGTTCACACTGAATATTTGGTGCCTTTCAAGGTCAGTATATGTTAGTCTGCCTCTTCTTTTAACGCACATACTATAATTATCCAGTCTCCCATCAGTGCGCATTACAAACAGTGCCTCAGTGGACACTGTACTGTAATTTCTACCCACAGACACCACACACCTAGGAGTCTTCGCCGGGTATTTCTGAAGGATACATTTCTACAAAAATGGTGCTGTTGGGTCAAGGGCACAATAAAATATGAGAAGAGAGCATCTAGTACCCTCTGAAATGTGGTGTATCTGTTTGCATCTCATAAGAGGAAATGGAAATAGCGGTGTCTCCCACCCTTGGCTGTGGGGAGGCCTGGGTCACCTTCCTTCCCACCCCCAGTTGTGGACCTCACCTGGCAGACAGCCACACCTGCCCAGGTGGGCCTCGGTTCCTGCCACACACTTGCAGCTTTGGTCTGAGCGCTCTATCAAAAGTCTCCCAGAATCCTACTCACCAGCAGCAGCTGCTGTAAACATCTCGAACCTATTTCCTTTATGCTCTTTTGAATCATTGTCATATGCAGAACTGCTTCATCTCCACAAAGGTCCCTCCTGCTACCCTCCTATAACCACCCCCACCTCAGTCCTTTCATCTCTGCTCCGACCTCAGCAACCATGTCTATAATGTGTCATGTCGAGAATGTGATGTAAGGGGAAATCAGACAGCACGAAACCTTTTGGCTTTCTTTCATCAGCATGCTTCCTTGATACCATTCAAGCAGTTGCATCAGTCATTCCTTGCTTTTGTGTCGCTGAGTAGTATTCCCTGGTGTGGATGTGGTCGTTCCACCATCCACCTGTCAGAGGGCATGCAGGTTGCTTCCGTTTTCTGGCTCGTACACGTAAAGCTGCCATGAATATCCAGGTACGGATTTTTGAGTGAACGTGTATCGAGGGTTCCGTCGCTGGGCCGTGTGGGGTTGCATGTTCAGAGATCTAAGAAACGGCGAGGCGGCTATCCAGGGTCGTGTCCAGGTCCCCTGCACCAGAGCCAGCGTGTGTGTGAGTAACCTTTTAAATATTTTGTTTGGTTGGTTCTCCCCCCACCCCCTTTGCTGATTAAAAGCTACATATCCCATTTCTGGCCTTTTGGAAATGATACGTGTGTGTTTGTTAGTTAATTTTAAATTTTGGAACAATTTTAGACAACATAAAAATTCCAGATACAATACAGAGAACTCCCATACCCACTTTCCATAGTGTTACTGTCTTATGCAAATAGGGTACATAAAGCCCACAGTCAGATTCCCTTACCTTTTCCGTAATGCCCTCCTGCTCAGGAGCCCACCTGGCATGCCGCCTATAGCTGGTCATCGTGCGGCCTGTCTCCTCATGGCTGTGGCAGTCTCTCCGACTTGCCTTGTGTTTAGTGACCTTGACAGCCTGGAGAACTACTGGTCAGCATGTATAGAATCTGTCTGATGTTTTCCTCATGTCGGGGTCATGGATTTGGGGAAGATCACACAGTAAAGTGCCATTTTCATCACAATTGCATCAGGGCACGTCTGTCAACATGACTTATCATCATGGCTGGTGTTTGTTCAGTCTCCCCTGAAACTTACTCTCGGAAGGCGGTCACTATGCACAGTCCTCACACGCCTCAGGGCGGGGCAATATGCCCACCCCCTTGCGGGCAGAACATCTATAAATTAGTTGTTACTCTTCAGTAGGGGAGATCTGCGTCTTTCTCCCACATGTATTTGTGTACTTAATCATTTACATTAGTTGGACTCATGGATATTTTTATACTTTGAGTTATAATTTAATACTAGTTTTGTTTTCTGAAATTGTTAAGTTTGGCCACTGTGTCCCTTAGACATGCCTCCAGCATTGTGAGGTTTTAAGCACTTGCTTATTTCCCGGCTCTGCAAGATACTCCAGGCTCAGCTAGTAAGTTTCCTGCCCAGCCCTCTAGTCAGTTATTTCTCCGCGGATCCATTGCCTGTCTTGTTAGAGAATGGTGTGAGAAACCCAGACCTGGATACTAGGCGTGCTCATTGCTAATACATGTCCTTGCTTCTCAGGCACTCCCAGATGACAGAGCAAGGACGTGTGTGTCTGGATACTCACCTGTGTGTTTACACATCTGTAAATATTTCCGTATGTAACCATTTGCTTTGATGTTAAGCTAAACATCATTCTGATATGTCCAACTCTAATCTATTACCACATGGATCATTCTAGCCTCCTCCCTTTCCCCTACCTTTTCATTTTTTTATTGAGCTATATAATTCACACACCATAAAATTCACCCTTTTAAAGTATAAAATTCACTGGTTTTAATATGTTCACAAGGCTCTGCAGCCATCCACTGTCTAATTGCAGGCATCTTACCATTCCCTAAGGAAACGCTGTGCCTGTGAGCAGTCATCCACCTTCCCTTTCTCTCCCCAGCCCCTGACAAGCAATAATCTTCCTTTCTCTGTGGATTTGCCTGTTTTGGACATTTTCTAGAAATGGAGTCATACAGTGTGTAGCCTTTTGTATCTAACTCCTTTCACTCAGCATACTGTTTTTGAGGTCAGTCCCTGTTGTAGCAGTGTCAGTACTTTGTTCCTCCTGTGACTGAATAACCCATTATATGGATGTACCACATTTCGTTTACCCATTCATCAGTTAATGGACATTTAGCTTGTTTACACTTTTAGGCTATTGTGAATAATGCTGTTATGAACATTCATGTACAATTGTTTGCAATAATGGGCATTTTCATTTCTCTTGACTTATATACCTAGGAGTAAATTGCTGGGTCATGTGGTCACTATATGTTTAACATTTTGAGAAATTGCCAAAGTGTTTTTACAAAACTGCTACACCATTTTATATCCCCACCAGCACTGTAGGAGGGTTCCAATTTCTCCAAATCCCTGTGAACACTTGTTATCTTCCATCTTTTTTATTTTAGCCATTTTAGTGGGTGTGAAGAGATATCTCGTGGTTTTGATTTGCATTTCCCTGATGGTTGATGATGCTAAACATCTTTTTATGTGCTTATTGGTCATTTGTATACCTTCTTTGGAGAACTGTTTGTTCAAATTATTTGCCCATCTATCAATTCGGTTATTTATTGTGTATGGGTGTGTGTGTGCGTGTGTGCATGTGAAAATGTTTATTTCCATTATGCTAAGCGAAATAAGCCAATCAGAGAAAGACAAGTATTGCATGATCTCACTCACATGTGCAATCTAATGAACAAAATAAACTGGTGAACAAAATAGATCCAGAGACATAGAAGCATGGAACAGACTGTAGAATCTCAGAGGGAAGGTGGTGAGTGGGACGAGAGCAAAGAGCTTGTATGCATGTATGCATAACCCATGGACACAGACAATAGGGTGATGAAGATGGGGGGGGTGGCTAGCAGAGGTCTATGATCGGGGAAGGGGACATATGTAATACTTTCAACAATAAAGATTTTAAACGTTTTTTTCTTCAGCCCCAATGTAAAAAAAAAAAATGATTTGGGGATGGAGAGGATAGGACAACTATTAAATGTGGTGAAGAAATTTCATAGGCCTAAAGAAACTATTAAGAGGAAGAATGAATTAGATTTATATCGTGAATAGAATCCTACTTATAAAAACACAAATCAGCTTGAATTTCTGAACAATTAGTAAGATTCAAAGTGACAATTTTCTATTGCAATCTCATTCTTAATGTTCTCCCAGAATCCCTAATCCTGGGAAATGCGGAGCAAAATGTGGCCAGAGGTTCATGCCTTTTTCCAACATTATCCCACCAGCCATCAAAGGTGGTAAAGATTTAGCCATGGCAGAGGGGAGCTCCAGGTCAAGTCTCTCCATTCTCTTTTGCTCTGCACTTTAGTTGATCTGACAAAAGCGTCTGACATCACACTTAACGCTCCTCAAGATAAACCAGCCAGAGTAAGAAATCCCATTTACTTCCCTCCTCAGTTCAAAGCCATGTTTTATTTTTAAAGTAGTTGCATATTCTGTTATGCACTGTAGTAGATTGTGGTGAACTGAAGGTTGTAAAGAGCTAATAAATGTATGGGCCTCTTAATGTGCAAAACCAAATAATTCCTAAAAGAATTGTAATCTTTTATAAATAATCTTTAAGTTTCCTGTAAATGTAAAAAAATTTTGAACAGATTGTTAAAGCCAATACTTAATACAAACACCGTAGAAGGTGGGGCAGGGTGTCATTCTGAGACCTATCTTGGCTGGTTTCTGGGTACCTTGTGGCGAGAATGAATCCTACTCCGAAGCCTGTGCTTTCTCTGTCCCCTAATGGTGGCCACAAGCCTTTCTGGTTATTTCTTTTTATTGTTGAATTGGAAGAGTTCTTTTTTATTTTCTGGATATTACACCTTTATCAGATACATGACTTGCAAATATTTTCTCCCATTCCATGGGTTATCGTTTCATTGTCTTGATAATGTTCTTTTCCAATTTTTAAAATTTTGTATGAAAGCAAATTCATTATATCTACATGAGATGCAACTTTTTTGTATTCCCATTCCTTCACTTCTCTTACTCTTTGGCAACCATCACCTCGTTCCCTATATCTGTGGGTCTGTTTCTCGTTTGTCCATTTATTTTATTTTGGATTCCACATATAAGTGAAATCATGTGGTGTTTGTCTTTCTCTGTTTGATTTATTTCACTTAGCATAATACTCTCTAGGCCCAGCCATGCTATCTCAATGATAGATTTCATTCTTTTTATATATCTGAATAATATTTCCTTGCATGTACATCCACGTCTTCTTTATCCATTCATCTATTGATGGACATCTAGGTTGCTTTCATATCTTGGCTATTACTGGTAATACTGTAATAAATGTAGGGATGCATATGTCTTTTTGATTGGGTGTTTTTGTTTCTTTGGATAAATACCCAGAAGTAGAATTGATGGATCATATAGCAGCTCTATTTTTAATTTTTTTGAGGAATCTCTGTACTGTTTCTACATTGGTTGTACCAGTTTACAATCCCACCCACAACAGTGTCTGAGGGTTCCCTCTCCACATCGTGCTAACACTGATTTTTTGGTTAATTGACAATAGCCATTCTGACCAGTGTGAGACAATACCTTGTGGTTTTAATTTGCATTTCCCTGATGATTAGTGATGTTGAGCATCTTTTCATTTGTTGGCCATCTGTGTGTCCTCTTGGGAGAAATGTCTATTGAGGTACACTTTCCATTGTTTAATTGGATTTGATTTTTTTATTTTTATTTTTTTAGTGTTAAGTTGTATGAGTTCCTTATGTATTTTGGATATTAACCCCTTATCTGATGTGTCGTTGACAACTATCTTCTTCCATTCAGTAGGTTGTTTTTTTGTTTTGTTGATGGTTTCCTTCACTGTGCAAAAACATTTTAGTGTGATGAAGTCCCCTTTGTTTTTTGATTCTTTTGTTTTCTTTGCTTGATGAGACATATCCAAAAAAAAAAAAAAATGTTGCTATGAGTGATGTCAGAGAGTTTACTGCCTATGTTTTCTTCTAGGAATTTTAGCGTTTCGGGTCTTACATTTAAGTCCTTCATTTATTTTCTGTTTGTTTTTTATATGGTATAAGAAGGTGATCTAGTTTCTTAATTTCTTTTCTTTCTTTCTTTCTTTTTTTTTTTTCATGTATCTGTCTAGTTTTCCCAAAATCGCTTAATGAAGAGACTGTCTTTACCCCATTGAATATCCTTACCTATATTGTCATAGATTAATTGTCCATATAAGCAAGGATTTATTTCTAGGCTCTCTTTCCTAGTCCATTGATCTAAATATCTGTTTTTATGCCAGTACCATGCTGTTCTGATTATTGTAGTGGTATAGTATAGTATGATATCAAGGAGCATCATACCTCCTACTTTGTTCTTTCTCAAAATTTCTTTGGCTATTCAGGGTCTGTTGTGGTGTCATATAAATTTTAGGATTAGTTATTCTAATTCTGAGAAGAATGCCACTTGTATTTTAATAGGGGTTATATTGAATCTATATATTGCTTTAGGTAGTAAAGACATTTTAACAATATTAATCCTTTCATTCCACAAGTGGGTATAGCCTTCCATTTATTTATATCTTCTTAATGAAGGTTTGGAAGTGGTAAACTTTTAGTCTTTATGTGTCCAAACATGTATTTATTTTGCCCTTAAACTTGAATGATGGTTTAACTAGGTATAAAATTTGAGGTGTGCAGTTATTTGCCCTCAACATTTTGAAGATATAATGCCTTGATTCTGTTATTGCTCAGATGCCCCTATCTAATTGTCATTCCTTTGTAATACTTTACCCTGTTATCTTAAGCTTTTTTCTCTTTCATGCTCAACAATTTTACTTGATATGAAAAGCTCTCAGCTATTATTTCTTCAAATCAGTCTTACTACTATTTACTCATTCCCCCTGTTCAGTTTCTCTTGAGAACCCACTGATACCTCGTAATCTATCTTTCGGGTTCTTTGAACTGCTTGTTCATATCACTTGTGACTGGGTCTCCGTGTCGTCCTCAGTTCAGTTCCTCAATTCTGCCTTTTAATTCACTAATATCACATGAGATCTTTGATTAGAGCCAAGTCTAGAATGTATGCCATTTGTTGAGAGTTGCTTTTGTTTTAAATTTTAATGTCTTTTTTGTCCACCATTTCTAAATTTTCATTATCAACTATTCTCATTCAATTTATGCCTGTTTTGCTTCATAGCAAGTATGGATATTGGTCCTTTACTTAAATTAGCCCATTTATTTAAAATATTTCCCAGGCAGTTTTATATCGATTTAATCTGGAATGAATTTGTGTTCCTAATTGAAGAGTTTGTAGACCATCTTACTTAGCATGAGATTTCTTTGTGGGTGGTGGAATTTTTTAATTTCAGGTTCAGTTTGAGTAAGAGATTTCTTGGTTTTGTTTTTCTCTTACTTTCTCTCTTGAATAACTTCTCCCTGTCTATGGTTTCGGTTACTTCCACCCCAGCCACCGTCCAGGACCAGGCCTTATAATACAGTGATTTATTGGGAAAATGCGTTTCAGTTCCTAGACTTGAGCCTGTGTCATCCTTCCTTCCTAGACCCACGGGCTGCTATGAGCCCTAGCCCTATGGTGTGCTGGAGACAGCTCCTGTCAGCTCACAAAAATCAATGATTAAATTTTAAGGAATCTCGTGAGCTGATTGTTAAACAGCCATTGTTTAATTATGAACTCACCATTAAGTAAATTATATTAAACAGTAAAGATAATAAACACTCAAAACTTAGCATTTTATCTTGCCATACATTTCTAATATCCATGCTCTAAAGGTTGCAGCATTTGTGTCCGTGTAGTGGAAACACTATAGCATGGTGCTCGAGGCATCTCTTCCTCTCCAGTTCAACAACATCATGTTGGTCATTTGAAAATGGCCATGATAAGAGTGTTCAAACCATGGAGATTAGGAAACATTACAAATCAGATCTTTTGTGTGTGTGTACATGTGTGCGAAATACTTGTTTAACATACCAGCACAGCATTGCCCCGGCCCCGGGCATCGGGCAACAGGCGATAGCCGTTTTCTTCAGTTCCTCCCGTAAAATAGGCACTCCCGCCACCTCATTTCAAATGGGGGTCAGCTTCGTTTCCTCCTCTCAGAAAGAGCTTTCCGTCCCGGTTATCTCACCATAAGTGCTTACCTCCCAGAAGCAAAGTAACCCACTCATGGCTCGGCCTTCCTGCTTTGTGTCTGGTCCATGGCATTATTTGTTTGGATGCTGAGGTGGCCTCTGTCCTTCGGTTTTCTCTTTTATGTGTTATCCATCATTGCTTTAAGCTTGAGGTGAGAAGATGTACATTAAATATTGAACATGCTGTTTCCATCTTGACCAGAACTCCATCGACATTATTTTTCATAGACGTGTAACTTCGATTGTATGGCTTTCATAATGCCCTCAAAAGATTTCCTTCAGACTTCGTCATCTCTCCCCATCATTCACCTTCTGTTCCTTGTCTGTTTTTCCCTAATACTTTCCTGGACCAGTTGTTAGGACAAGCATGATAACATCTATAATAATAAAAGCATAAAATGCTAAGTAGACCAGATGGCTGAATAACCTTCCAGATGACCTTTCAGATGACCTTCCGGACGAAGCCAGGGCTGGGAGGGCTGAGGCAAACCGCCGTAGATGCAAAGGCCCAGCCCCTTGCACAAATTTCATGCATCGGTCCTCTAGTTGTATATATGAGCTATCCTTGAAGATTCTGGATGTCACATATGCTGCCTCTAAATTATTATACACTGAATAATAGTACGTATGTAATATAATAATATATTACTGTTCCAACAAGAAAACATGGGAGCCCTAAGTTACCTAAATGGAAATCCTTGGCCCCCTAATGTTTTCTCCCTTCCCTGCAGGTATCAAAGCTGTGTTCTCGGGCCACTACCACAGGAATGCTGGGGGTACCTACCGGAACCTTGACGTCGTGGTATCATCTGCCATCGGATGCCAGCTGGGCAAAGATACCCACGGGGTCCGAGTCGTGGTGGTCACCGCTGAGAAGATCGTTCATCGGTACTACAGTTTGGACGAGCTGAGTGAGAGGGGAATAGAAGGTGACCTGATGGACTTAATGAAGGAAAAATGATTGCCGTTATGACCCAGTCGCTTCCACTTCCACTGTCTTTTAATTTTGCCAGAAACAGCAGCTTCTGAATAAAGAAGTATCCAGGCAGATTTGTGAATTTATGTCCTTTGCGTAAATCAGAGAGCCGGGTCCTATTCTGAATTACTTTTGAAGTAGAACCGCCTTCCCTTTAAGAAAGAGAAGGGGCTGGAGAAGGGCTGGAGCCTGGGAATAGGAGAATAAATGATGCTGGAATTTCTCTGTATGAGTGTTTGAATAACCTTTCCTGAGTGTGTTTCTCAACTATCTCAAATTCTCTGTTGTTAAGTCAAATTGTTTTCTCGCAGTTTATGGTGAGTGCCTACCTATGGACCTCAATCCCAACTGGTATCCACGTGTAATCTCGGGTAATCCTCCAACAAACTGCATCTCATCAGTTAAATTGTAGTCATGGCTCTGACGCTTGGCAGCAGGAAGGTCATCTCCTCTCCCTCCTAACAAAGCAGACAACTCTCCTCCTACCAGAGGTGTGCAGGCACTCATTTCCACACGGAGCTATCAGAGCCAAGGCCTGTGCTGGTGATCAGTTGGTACAAGTCAGCGCTGAGTGTGCCTTCTTGGTGACTAGAACAGTCACCTTTGCACCTACATTAGCCATCTGCAAAAGCCTCATCCAAGAGGCCAGAGCCAGAGCCCTGAGGTCACCAGCGCACGTTCTGAGTTTATTCGGGTCACACCGGCTGCTGCAGGAACTCCACAGGTTGCTGTCCTCACACGATCAGAATGACTCTCCACTCCTGAGACGCTTCACTGCGTTGACATTGACAGGAAAAGTGGGAATTGAGACAAGAGTTCTCAAAAGAATCAAAGCAGAAATTTCGGTGAGGCAAAACCTGCTTCCAGCCGCTTTAATGGAATTGGTGCCGCCTTTGATTCACGGCCCCAGAGCAGGCGAGCGAGGATGGTGAAAGTCGGCACTGTTTCCATGCCGGCTGCTTTGCTGCGTCTTCTCCGCAGCTCCTTTCACTGTGCTGTTTCATCCACGTGGTCTGCTCTGCAGATGTCCTGATGGGACATCTCCCAGTCCTGCCAGGAACACCTCACAGCATCACGCAGTAGCACTTCCTCACTCCGAAATGCCTTCAACAACCCGCTGCTTACAAATGAACTGCAAAACCCATCAAGACTTTCTCGTTAAAAGTGTTAGTCAACGTAGCAAAACCAGGAGAAAGTAAATAGAAAGATAATTGGATATGTAAATTCATAAGGAACAAAAGACAAGAAGTTAATTGTACTATAGATCGGTGACACACTAGCTCATTGTTACGTGGCACAGGAAAATTAAAAATGTTCAAAATTAGAATGCCCTTGTTTGGGGATTTTGCTGCGTTCTTGCTTTGTATTCATTTTTTCTTTACCACAGGTGCGGAGGTGAGTTCAGGAAGAGGAAACACAGTAAGTGGCGTAACTAACAGCCACATGTGTGAGGCGTGGGAGGCGGGAACACTGAGGATTAGCTGCCAGGATCCTGTGCCCGGCCCATAAACACGGGCGTGGGCTCCTGGGAGGGGAGAGGGAAGCACAGGCTGACCCAGCGTCTCTGTGGCGTCACGGGTGCCAACGCTCTGGACTGTGGCACCGGAGTTTTGGCAGAGGATATGGAGATCATTAAAAGCAGAAATTAAATTTACTAAGCCTCCCTCCCAAAAACCTATCAAGTAAAAGAACTGATTCAAAACACAGCAAGAATGTGCTAACAATAGGGAATCCTGCGAAACCCTCACCATTTTTAAAGTAACCGAACAGCAGTATTCTCATGGTGAGAGGTTCAGGAAGACGTTAGGAAGTGATTCTGTAAATAAGCACGTATCTTCCTGAAAATAGGTAAGTACCAATGCATCCACTTATGATTCCTTTTTCTTAAAACAGGGATGATAAACAAGTGCCTTCTACTGTGAAAAACAAGAAAACACTCCTGGTCATACGTGCGTGGTGTGGGAGTGTTTCTTCTGTTCTACACGCTGTGTGAAGGGCTTTGGCTCAGAGAGGCCGTGCCGCTTGGCCGAGGTCACACAGCTCCTCCGAGGGGAAGGACGGACCAGGAAGCTAGCAGCCCCACTGCTAAGCCTGTGCTCAACACTGTCCTCTCTTCCTGGAAAATGCTTTGAATGGTGACAGTGGCTCAGTTGGTTGGGCGTCATTCCACGTACCAAGAGGTCACCAGTTCACTTTGCGGTCGGGCACATGCCCAGGTTTCCGGCTCAGTCCCCCGTGGGGGTCATACAGGCGGCTGCTGATTGATGTTTCTCTATCTCTGTTCCTCACTCTGTAGAATCAATTTTAAAAAAAAATGTACCAGCTCTGCCCTTGGCAACACTACCATACTTGGCACCTTTGACCATCTCTCCTGGGCAAGAACCCAGTGTTAGCTGGAAAACCTGGGACTTCATCCGGGTCCACAGAGCCCCTTCTCTGAATTGCACCAGGTTCGTGGTGGCAAAGCCTGTCCCAGACGCAGATGATTCCAGAGGAAGAATTTTCACTGGAGGAGGTGGGAAAGCGGAATTGAACTATAATGGGCCACGGGACACAGCTCTACCCACAGCGGTAAACGCTGTCAGATG